AGCTGAGAATCAGAACCTGTATTTCTTATTGAATTGTAATCCAATCAGTGCTTGACAACTGTCTTGTCCTAAGCACTCGTAGCAGGTGGGCTTAGTTCCTTTGGCCCAGAACCCCACTGCAGTGGGCCCACTTGCGTTGCATCTTTGCCTCCTTTTAGAGAGCAAGGGCCACTTACTTCACCATCTACTTTGTTGTTTTTTCCATTCAACCTTTTCTCAATTCTAAAAAATAGAGAATTGTTCTAGATGGATTCAAATTCTCTTCTTATAAATCTTTCAGTAAAGGAAATGAGTGAAAATACGCCTCTCAGTTATCAGCATGGACACAGAAAAATGTTGAATACTTGAGAAATCCAAATAATTTAAAGATAGGAGTCTTTTTTTTTTTTTTTTCCCTCCAGAACCGGGGATTGAACTCAGGCCCTTGCGCTTGCCAGGCAAGCGCTTGTTCTACTGAGCCATCTCCCCGGCCCACGATAGGAGTCTTTATTAAGATTCCTCCTTCAGTCTTTTTCATGTGTTACAATTTGTCAATGAAAAAGAATGTACATAGCCCTTCAAATAAAGCCGTGACTTTAGCCTTAAAACATAACCTAAATGAGAAGGGAAAGTAAACGCATGTGAAACATTAAGCAACTAATGACATTTCCAAGAATCAGAAAAGAGGATCAAGAGCTTAATTATCTCAAGACTCCTTCAGAATAATTCTCACCAATAACAAGATAATGTCACGCAACCGGGTTGTACATAAAAATGCATCTTGTATTATTATCAAAGCAATTAGCAAATACTACTGAAGTGTGATTTTAGTATTACCAGCCTCCATTAAAACATGAACTATTTAACTTAATGATCAGTGTTTCTCGTGTATGGGAAAGTTTATATTTGCATCTTTACATCTGCAAAGAGAACATCTACTGCTTCAGATGAAATTTAATGTGTCCCTTTCATCAGTTAAAATCTCACCAATAATTAAGAAGATAATAAGTACCAAGTCAATTCAAATGGTCTCATGAAGTGTACACTTTGTACCTATTTTTAAGCAACTTTTTTTTTTTTTTTTTTTTTCTTTTTCATGAATGAACTGACATTCATGCGTGTGATTCTAGGACCAGCAGGAATAAAGATCAATTGAATGAGATCCCCAAACCTTTCTGTGAGACTCTGCCTTCCTCAATTCACTGTCTCCCTGG